CAGCAGCAGCAGCAGGGTGCAAAAAATCCGCCTGACTCCCCAGGCAATGGGACCAGCCTCGGGGCCTCACTGAGCACTTCTCTTCGGCTCGATCTTACCTGCCGCTTCCCTCTCCTTCATGCGCTTGATGAAGATGCTGCAGGCGACACCGAAAAACACGACACCAATGCCCAGCACCGCTCCGGCGGCCCCGACTTTCACCCTGAGGTCCAGAGGCAAGCCTGGTGCTGCAGAAGTGGACGGGGTGGGGGAGGAGATAGTCACAGAGAGCCCTACAAATAAGGGGCAACAGGTCCTGCCAAGCAGGCGCATGCCCGAAATACATGATGCCCCCCCACCTTCTCCACTTTTTTCCCTGGGTCCTCACTGCAGGGCCTTAAGCACTGAGTGGGGAGTACCATCCTCTCCCAAATGTATGTGTCTGTTTAGTCTGTTTGTTCGCTGTTGATCTGTTCACAACCGTAAGTAATGAAACTTTTTCATGGTTTCTCCCATCACGGTCTGAGAATGAGTTACTGAGACTATAAGTGACTGTTGGTGAGAAAAGGGGAAGCGGAAGGTTTTCTACTCTGTGAATCTATGCGCCTCTACGGTGTAGCAAAGGTTTTGATTTTACCAGGAGATCCAAACTCAGCAACGTAGTTGACCCCAGCGGTCGGGCACTCACCCCAGTCCTTTGTGACGGCCTCGGTCAGGCTCACGTGCGCGACCCGGCAAGTGTAGACGCCTCCTTTCTCGGGGTCGACCGGCAGCGTCAGCCGAGCCTGGTAAGTCCAGTCCCCATTGCTGGAGATTTTTGGGGGGCCCAGCCCACTCTTCACGAGGGCCCCGTTCCACCACCAGGAGAGGTCCACCTCGCTCGGGAAGAAGCCCCACGCCACGCAGGCCAGCATGATGGGTGCTGGAGTGTTCCGAGGGGTGACGGGGAAAATGCGGACATTGGGGGGCGCTGGGAGGGGAGGGAAGAGGGAGGGGAAAGGAAGGGGGGGAACAGGATTAGCCTCGGCCCTCAGAGGATCATGTGGCCACCCACCCTGGCTTGTGCCATCCTTAAAACCTTGGGTGTTCTCGCTGGA